CTGGGGTGAAGGCCACCGTCGGAGCAGGTGACATGGTGACATGGCGGGGAGGGTGAGCTGGGGTGAAGGCCACCGTCGGAGCAGGTGACATGGTGACTTGGGGTATAGCTGGGGGTGACGGCCACCGTCAGAGCAGGTGACATGGTGACATGGCAGGGAGGGTGAGCTGGGGGTGATGGCCACCGTCAGAGCAGGTGACATGGCAGGGAAGGTGAGCTGGGGTGAAGGCCACTGTCGGAGCAGGTGACATGGTGACATGCGGGGAGGGTGAGCTGGGGTGATGGCCACCGTCAGAGCAGGTGACATGGTGACATGGAGGGTGCAGCTGGGGGTGACGGCCACCGTCAGAGCAGGTGACATGGTGACATGGCGGGGAGGGTGAGCTGGGGGTGATGGCTGCCATCAGAGCAGGTGACATGGCAGGGAAGGTGAGCTGGGGTGATGGCTACCATCGGAGCAGGTGACATGGTGACATGGCGGGGAGGGTGAGCTGGGGTGATGGCCACCATCAGAGCAGGTGACATGGTGACATGGCGGGGAGGGTGAGCTGGGGGTGATGGCCGCCATCAGAGCAGGTGACATGGCAGGGAGGGTGAGCTGGGGTGATGGCTACCATTGGAGCAGGTGACATGGTGACATGGCGGGGAGGGTGAGCTGGGGTGATGGCCACCATCAGAGCAGGTGACATGGTGACTTGGGGTATAGCTGGGGGTGATGGCCACCATCAGAGCAGGTGACATGGCGACGTGGCAGGGAGGGTGAGCTGGGGTGAAGGCCACTGTCAGAGCAGGTGACATGGTGACGTGGAGGGTGAGCTGGGGGTGACGGCCACTGTTGGAGCAGGCAGTCCTGGTGACTTCTCTGATGTCCTTATCACTTCATTCCATTCTGCCTCCATCCGGCTAAGCCAATGACCCCTGGAAGAGGACATGAAGATCCTGATGTGAAGCCAGTCCTCTGTCCAGCAGGTCATCTGAGGGTCATTTCCCCCGGGACCCCATCCTGTCCTGCACCTCGAAAGCCCTGGTGAGCTGTGGTGGCCACTTCCGGCCGGTGGCCTTCTCGTGCACTCTTGTCCTGTGGTCAGCTGGCCACAGGAAGTCCCGTGCAGCGTGGGCTTGTGCTGGGCGAGAGAAACGTGTGCACCACTGACCGGTGCTTCCAGGCTGCGGGGGGCCAGGTGTGAGCGTGCCGCCTGTCCAGGTGACAGCGTGTGTGACGGCTGCTCACGGAGTGCTGGGGATCAAGGCCACAAACACCGCGTCAGAGGCCCCTCTGGGGCTTCCTCTGGCACACAGGCTCGGGGGCTCTAGAGACCTGGAGCCCAGGGACCCTTGGGCGCAGGAGCGGCAGGGCAGGGTGCCCACCTTCCCCCCAGGTTCCCCGCGGGGGCTTGTTGGTCTCAGCCCAGCAAAAGCCACGACTTCAGGGACTCTTAGGGAGCACAGGCAGCGAGAGTCGGCCAGGCTGCTGCAGACCCCAGAGAGGCCCCGCAGCACCCAGATGACTGCAAGGGTGAGCCCCGCACTGTCGTGCCTGCGCCTGGGTCGGCCACCTCCACGGGGACGCTCGGCCACCTCCACAGGGACGCCCGGCCACCTCCACGGGGACGCCCGGCCACCTCCATGGGGTACTCAGTCACCCCCACGGGGACGCTTGGTCACCTCCCATGAGACGCCTGGCCACCTCCACAGGGACACTTGGTCAACTACACAGGGACACTTGGCCACCTCCACAAGGACACTTGGCCACCTCTGTGGGGCACTCAGTCACCCCCACGGGGACGCCCGGCCACCTCCACAGGGACGCTCGGTCAACTACACAGGGACACTTGGTCACCTCCCAGGGGCACTCTCAGCCACCTCCATGGGGACACTTGGTCACCTCCCACGGTGTGGGCGTGGTCTCGCCCCTCACCCTGACCCAAGGGGCCCTTTACTGAGGAAAGAACCTCTATTCTTTGTCCTCGCCCCGTCTGCGGTGAGGGCCTGGGCGCAGTGGCCCCGCGTGACGTCTGTGAGGCCTGCGCCTCGGCTCGTTCCATTCACTCCAGCACCCAGTGACTGAGCCGCTGCAGACGGTGACGTGCAGTGAGCACCCCCGCCCCCTCCGGTGCACCTGGGGGCGGCCGAGGCCCTCAGGGCCGTGTGGGCAGCAGCGGGGTCCTGAGCCTGGGCGTGGACGCCGGAGTGCGGCCGAGCTCCCGCCTCCTGCTGCCGTGGGTCCCTCTCGTCCCTCTCCACGCCGGCCGCCCGACCCCGGAGACTGCCCCTTCCCTGCACACCCCTGCGGCACGGCCAGCCAGGCCTCACAGCGAAGGCCAGGGCGACCTGGCGTCGAGCGTCCCAGTCTCCCCCAGGCCGAGCTGTGTCATCACGCCGTCCCGCGGCCCAGTCCACCCACACGGGCCCTGGGCCTGCGTCGTCAGCTGTGGCAGCGAGCGCTCTGCCAAGCGAGGCGCCGCTCACCGCCCTGGCAGCGCCCAGGCAGCCTCGCTGAGGTTCCACATCGCAACATCCTCGCTTTGCTAAAATACGTGCCAGGTCTCCACCCGGTCGTGGAAATGCGTGTCACCAGAGGCCGGCACGGAAGCGGAGTCTTGCACCAGAATCACCTGAGCTTTGCACTGGATTCCCGCGAACTCCCGCAGTCCACTCGCTAGTGCAGGGCTGGGGGGGGCGAGCTCCCGCAGTCCACTCGCGGGTGCAGGGCTGGGGGGGGCGGGAACTCCCGCAGTCCACTCGCGGGTACAGGGCTGGGGGAGGGGCGGGAGCTCCCACAGTCCACTCGCGGGTGCAGGGCTGGGGGAGGGGCGGGAGCTCCCACAGTCCACTCGCGGGTGCAGGGCTGGGGGAGGGGCGGGAGTTCCCACAGTCCACTCGCGGGTGCAGGGCTGGGGGAGCGTGAGCTCCCTGCAGTCCACTCGCGGGTGCAGGGCTGGGGGAGCGTGAGCTCCCGCAGTCCACTCGCGGGTGCAGGGCTGGGGGGGCGCGAGCTCCCTGCAGTCCACTCGCGGGTGCAGGGCTGGGGGAGCGTGAGCTCCCGCAGTCCACTCGCGGGTGCAGGGCTGGGGGGGCGGGAGCTCCCGCAGTCCACTCGTGGGTGCAGGGCTGGGGGGGCGCGAGCTCCCGCAGTCCACTCGCGGGTGCAGGGCTGGGGGGGGCGAGCTCCCACAGTCCACTCGCGGGTGCAGGGCTGGGGGGGTGGCCGCAGCAGAGCCGCTGTCGGGGGCGTGGCCGAGCCCAGTGTGGGTTTGCTTACTAAATACCCGAGTTTCAGAATTACGTGACGCATGAGAAAAGTGCTGTGTTTACAGGGGACAGTGAAACTCAGACAGGGGACGAGGACAAAGTGAACAAGGGAAAAGCGTTCAGGGCTGAGGAGTGACTGGCAGTGTTTTCAAACCTGAAAGTGACAGCTACGACAACCAGACGTAGCTGGTGCGGGAAGACAACGCCAACGGCAGGCCTGCCTAGAGCCGGCTGGCAGCGGGGAGCTTCCTCTGGCTGCCCTGACCCTGGGTCTCGGGGCCGAGGGGTCCCAGTAGCCTGTGCCCCCTGCCCCTCTGGGTCTCACTGAACCGCAGCCCCCCGCCCCCGCCTTGCACCCACACAGCCGAGCGTGTCTAGAAGTGACAAGCGATGGTGGTGGCTGCCACCTGGCACGTCCTGGCTGCTGCCCCTCCCCTCCGTGGTGGCTTAATGCCTTCTCCTCTCAGAGCCCCTGCTCCCACCTTCTCGCCCGGCTGCGGCTGGTTTCCTGCTTTACCGGGAGCACAGGAACCATCAGAGAAGCACCCGCTGACTGCCCCCCTGTGTCCCAGCGGTGGTCTTCCTGCCCCGACCCGGGAGCTCCTGTGTCCATTTCTGTGCTGCCCACGGGAGGGATCCCCTTCAGGGTCCGGCAGAGCACATGACGCCGGACTCCCCAGGGACTCCACGGCCGCTCAGGAGAAGGCGCGGTCACCCCACGCCCAGCCCCCGACACCTCTGCGGCTTCAGCTCCCTGCCCTCCCCCCGCTGCTGCGGCCTCTCTGGCCTCCTCCCTGGACCTGAGCGTGGCAGGCGGGGGTCTGAGCCAGGGTCCCCACAGCTGGGCACTCGGGCTCACCCGGGACCCCCGCCCTGGCCCCTCCCTGTTTGAGTTTTCTCACGGCAGGATCCCACGCTCGGTGTCAGTGTCAGTCCTGAGAGGTCAGGGATGGTCCGTGTTCCTATGCCTTGAGCCACGCGTGGCACACAGCAGGCGTCGGCCAGGGAGCACACGGACCGGGCGTGGGGCCAGTCGGCTCCTCCTGCCTCCTGCGCTCCGCGCATCGGCACTCACATGGTGGCTTCGTGTGCCCAGCCCTCACTGTCGGCAAAATGAGGCCGTGTCCCTCTGACCTCAGACAGCGAGCGGGAAGCCTGCTCCCGCCCTGGGTCCCAGAAGCTCAGCCAGGTGCAGTGTCCCGGGAGGAAGAGCGAGCCGGGCCAGCCCGGGCGTCAGCGCCCTGGGGTTCCCCCTCCTCGACCCTGTCACAGCCGGCTCAGGACTTCCCCGGGGCCCTGCAGCCTGATGCAGGCGCTGTGCACGCCGAGGCAGAGAACTTGACCCAGATCCTGCCCGCCCCAGCCCCGGCCCGGTGATGGCAGGGAGGTGGACGTCACGGCCACTGCCGAGGAGGGGGCTCCGGAGTGGCGGGGCTGTTTCCAGGGCCGTCTGTCCCGGCTTGAGGCTGCGTGTCTGGGGGCGCCGACCCGTCCGCCCGTCTCTGCCGTGCTCAGTTTTTGAGTCCTTTAAGACCAGGAACGTGGGCGGCAGGCGTCGCAGCCGTTCTAATTCAGTGGTGATTTCCAAGAAGAATCAAGAACTATTCCACAGACTGATAATTCTGAAACGGCACAAGGAAAAGGCAGCTAGCGCTGAACTTTTCAAGTGACCTAGTTACGGAAGCTGGCCCCCTCCCTCCACCTCGTCTGTGGCTTCTGCACCGCGTGAGGCGTGTGCCAGCAGCGTGCAGGTCCCACACGGCGTGCTGCCCAGAGCGAGGCGGCTCGTGAGCTCCGGGGGCCCGGGCCAGGGGCAGCTGGAGGCCAGCCCGCCCACGCTGCTGCCCACGACCCCCAGCTGCTGGCTTGTGGCCCGGGAGCTGCGTGTGGATTGGTACGTCTGCGCCTTCTCTTGGATCTGGAAAACGCTGCGTAAGCTGTTGTCTCGGGTCGCGAGGTTGGAAGGTAAAGGGACGCTGCCGAGGGCCACGAGGTCCGGCCTCACTGGCGCTGAGCTGGGGACTGAGGCGGCCTGGTCCTGCCCGGGAGCGGGACAAGGACAGACGCCACTTCTGCCGGTGCTGCTGCGCCGAACACGCTTCTGGGGCTTCACGCGTGTGCTCCGGGTGGCTCCGTGTGATTCTAGAGGTTTCACGTGTGTGCCCCAGGTGTCTGTAGGGGCTCCACGCGTGGACTCCGGGTGGCTCCATGTGATTCTAGAGGTTTCACGTGTGTGCCCCAGGTGTCTGTAGGGGCTCCACGCGTGTGCTCTGGGTGGCTCCGTGTGATTCTAGAGGTTTCACGTGTGTGCCCCAGGTGTCTGTAGGGGCTTCACGTGTGTACTCCGGGTGAGTGTAGCTCCACGCGCGTGCTTTATGTCATTCTGCTGACAACCCCGGAGGCTGGCCTGTGTCTTGCAGTTGGGGAGGTGGAGTCGTCGGGTCGGCTGAGCATGGAGGGGTTTGAGACCAGATTGCTCAGAGCCCAGAGACAGGGTGGGTCTGCCCCACGGGCTTCCAGCGACAGCCACAGCATGGGCCATGCCACCTGCCACAGGCCACAGCCACGAGGACGAAACACGGCGCTGAGCGCCGGCCTCCTCCTCTCTGGGCTGCCTGGGGCTGAGGCTGCGCCGCAGGACAGGGGCGCTGGGCGCTGGGTGGGCCCAGAGGAGGGGCTGCTGGGGGCGGGGCAGTGCAGGGGGAGTCTGGGGAGGGCACGGCCCCCCGTGGACACCGCTCATGGGTCTGGCTCCAGAGCCCTCGTGTGCTGCAACTCCCAGAAGAGGTTCTGCGACCGCATCTTGTTCCGAGTGAAAGTGACAGGCGTCGGTGATGTGTGTCACCGTGCTGTGTGTCACCGTGCTGTGCCTGGGTTTGAGAATGTGTGCCGCTCACACATGCTGCTGCCCCACTAGCGTGACGGAGCCGGAGGCGCGGCTTTACCCTGGCAGGACAACTTCTCTGCCGAGCGGGCTTCAAGGAGGTCAGGGAGAAGTGGGCGAGTTCATGGTGGCACCAAGAAACAAAAAGGAAAAATGAAATTCCCATGTTGCGTGCCCGCCGTGTGCGCGGTCTGTGAGATCCGTGCGTTGCGTGCCCGCCGTGTGCGTGGTCTGTGAGATCCGTGCATTGCGTGCCCGCTGTGTGCGCGGTCCGTGAGATCCGTGCGTTGCGTGCTCGTCGTGTGCGCGGTCCGTGCACTTCCTGGAGTGCTGGATGTCTTGACCTGGAGCCCTCACTCACTACCTGGACGTGCCTGTGTCTAACGTCGCCGTCGGAGAGCAGGTGAGAAAGAGGAAGTAAGCCAGAGGATGCTGCAGCTGACAGACCGCAAGGCCCGGCCTGGCGCCTCGTGGGGCTCCTCCCAGGGGAGACCTCAGGTGCGCATTCAAAGATTCCGACTCCTATTTTAGGTGCGGTGCTGGTCAGAGGACTGCCCGGTTCCAGTCCAGAGGCTGCCAGAGCAGAGCAGGCACAGGGGGCAGCAGGGCGGGGCCGTGGCGGTGCAGCCGGATGCCGGGACCCGCAAAACGTGTTGGGCAAGATTGTCCCGGGCGGGCGGGCCTCGGATCCCGCGGTCGGGATGCTCAGAGCTGCTGTGGCACGGGCTTCCAGTGCGGGTGTTAGGCAGGGCCAGGCACGCCGGGGACGCACAGGCTGCAGAGCTGAGGACGGTTCCACAGCGGAGAGGACTCCACGTCCAGACAAGGACCACTCTCCCCTTGTCCTGTTTCCGTTTGGAGCACAGACGGAGGAGACACAGAGAAAGAAGACGGAGCGAGGGGAGCAGGGGCGCGGGCGGGGCAGAGGCTTTCGGGTGGAGGGCAGGGGCACGAGCAGAGCCGTGGGGGTGGCGTGGCAGCCATGGCTGGGCCCGCGGCCGGCCGCTCAAGCAGCGGTGCCCCTGGGCCCCCTGAGAGCGCAGCAGGAAGTTGAGATGCAAAGCAGGGATCTGCACAGGGCGGCCTGGAGCCCCGGCCCGGCTCCTCTGCGCTGGGCCCTGCCTCTCGCGAGGTCCAGGGTTCCCAGGGCTTCTCCCTCTGCGTCTCCCTCTCCTGAGCCCCTCTCAGCTGCCTGACGGTCTCGGGGCTCAGGGAGACCCAAGGCTGAGCCAGCCACAGTCTGTGCACTCAGCGGGGGCCTCCTAGCTCCTTCCGGCTCCCCTGCGGCTTGGCTGGGGGGTGCGCTGGCAGACCCGCCTCCCTCCTCTCCCCAAGGGCCCTCAGTGTGGGAGAGGAGCGGTTTGCCGCTGTTGGGTCGCTCACCCTGACGCCCTGGCCCCTTCTACCCAAGGCCCCGGTAGCTGCGCCTGCCGGGAAAGCAGTGTGGCTCTGTGGTCGCCGTCACCACTGCCGCCCCCTCTCATTTCGGTAGCAGCTTTCTAAGTCAGCACAGCAGGTGAGGAGCGGCTGATGTCACCACCGACAGAGGGGACGAGGCTCAGACACAGCCTCCTCGGGGGCCACCAGATCAGGTCCCCTGCAGGCCCCCAGCCCCCAGGAGGAGTGGGCGGCTTCCGGTTTTCTCGCTGGCGTAAGAGCAGGCGGGCTAGCCCACAGGAGCATCTCTGCCGGTGGGGGCAGGCGACGGGCGACAAAGCAACTCCTTCTTGGGCCTTCTCCTCGGCCTGCCACTGGGCAGTCTGTGAAATGGGCTGAGACGGTTTGGGGCCCCTTGGTCAGGCAAGTGGCTGGCCAGGGCTGCCCCACACTCCCTGCCAACCACTGTGGACCCCCTGGAGGAGGAGGACATGCACTGGGCGGCTCACAGGGCCCACTGGCCTCTGGATTTGTAGAACCAATGGAAGGGACTCCTTCCCATCATCCTCTCCCTCTGGCCCAGCCCCTCTTCCCATCATCCTCTCCCTAGACCAGCCCTTCTTCCCATCATCCTCTCTCTAGCTGTGGGCCAGCCGTCTTTCCAGAAAGGCCCATCACACCCTCGTGGAACAGGCTGGTGGTATATTCAAGAAGTCTGCGGTGGGGCCGGTGTTGTAACTCAGCAGGTTTAGCTGCCGCCTGTGACGCTGGCATCGCACAGGGGCGCTGGGGTGAGTCCCTGTGTGGACTGCAGCTACCCCCCGAGGCCAGCAGCACCCTGCACTCGGCTGCCCTGGACCCTTGCGGGGTCTCTGGTCCGACAGTTTGGTGTCTTCCCAGCACTTCCTGGCTCAGACTTGAAGCCCGGCAGCAGGCTCTGTTCTGGGGCTGACGCAGGAGCGCGCAGGGGAGGGAGGCACCCACCGGGCGCCCACGGGCGTGGGGACTCTGCCCAGCCCTGCAGTGGGGCCTTCCCGGCTCTGCAGCCGCGTCTGCGGGCTGCACTCCTGCAAAGCACGCGTGTCAGCATCCTCGCCACGTGTGTCTCCCGGCCGCGGGCTGCGGGGGTGAGGGGTGTCTGCGTCTCACGTCCACTTGCAGCACCGTCGAGCAGGCTGTGCCGTGGTCTGGAGGCCGGCGCTGGAGCCCACCGGGAGCGCTTCTCCAAGCGGCCGCCCTTCCATGTCAAGGATTTGAAAAGCTTCCTTTTCTCGCACAGCCAAGGGCACAGCTGTCCCACAGAGGGCGACCCCGCCACACCTCGTGTGTCTTGATGATGGGCGTGTGACATCCCCCCCACCACCACGCGGGGCTAGACAGCGACCCCGCCACACCTCGTGTGTCTTGATGATGGGCGTGTGACACCCCCCGGCACGCAGGGCTGAGGGGCGCCGTCTCGCTCGTTCGTGTCTCCCAAGGAGCGCTTCCTTGTACCGCAGCTGTCTGGCGGCCTGGAGCCCTGCCCGGGGACCCACGCTCGCTCACGCACGTGCCGCCCTCCCAGGTCTCCCTCCGTCACCCCTCCAGCTCTTGGTCCTTTCTGGCCGCCTGAGGTCTCGGAATCTGGGGCTCTGCTGACAGCGCCCAGCCCACGGCACGGAGCGGAAGAGAGGCGGCAGCTCCCGACGCCCGTGCAGCCCACCTCCTCCGCTTCCCGTATCCTCGCACCCCGGGCGCCACATCCCCGCCAACCCGAGTCCCAGGGACAGCGGCCTCCCTCGCCCTGCCTCGCCCCTGTACCCCAGCCACAGCTGCCCGAGGCCATTACGGCTCCGACTCCACCAGGACCAGTCCCCGGGGAGCAAGGACGCGCCTGGTTTCAACAGAGGCCTCCGCAGTCTGGGAGGGCCTTGGCGAGGCAGGGAAAGGCGGACCGGGAGAAGGACTGGGAGGACGCGGCTGCGGGAAGCCTGGCTCCTGTTGGGTCGGCAGAGGGTCGAGTCCCGGCTCCCCTGGACCAAGGACTGATGGCTGCACCTGGGGTCAAGGGCTGACCCTCTGCCCAGAGCCTGAGCCCACTGGGTGGGACCAGGCCCTGCTCCTCGGGTGGGGGCTGGGTCCTGCTCCTCGGGTGGGGGTTGGGTCCTGCTCCTCGGGTGGGGGCTGGGCCCTGCTCCTCGGGTGGGGGCTGGGTCCTGCTCCTTGGGTGGGGGCTGGGTCCTGCTCCTCGGGTGGGGGCTGGGTCCTTGCTCCTCGGGTGGGGGCCGGGCCCTGCTCCTCGGGTGGGGGCCAGGTCCTGTGCTCCTTGGATGGGGGCTGACGCCCATCCCTCCGCGGGCTGGGTGCTGACCAGTGGGCACTGTTGCCTATCTGCAACTTGGGTGTGAATGTAAGAGCTGGGTCAGAAGGCTGGGACCAGGGCCCTGGGGTGGGCGCGTCCTGAGCGGGTAGTCTGTGCCTTCCGGGTCTCCGGTCTCCGAGTCTTCTCTGACCCTGACCCTCCTGGGTCCTGGGGCCTCTCAGGGGGACACGGGGCCTCGTCGCTGTCCTGCGTTGTGGCACGGTCTGTGTCCTCCATGTTCCAGCTGTGTGTTTCTTGAGAGCAGGAAGTAGTAGGCGGCCTACTTCTGAGC